CATTTCCCTAAGCAGGGAGGTGGGGGGGGCATCCCAGACCAAGCACACAGGAGCAGCCACAAGCCAGGGACAGCGTGAGGGATGGCTTCTGAGAACTACGAACATTTCTGGAGCTGGAGCAGAGGCAGGGGAGGTGGGACTGGAAATGGGGCTAGAGATTCAAGTAAGGCCAGTTGTGTGGGCTTTGGTTTGAGCACCAAGGGACTCAGATATTATTGGATAGGAGACAAACAACACTTCCCGATTGGTCAGATTTCTTCCCTTGGACTGCTCTTAGTTAGACAGAGGAACTCTAACTCCAACCTCCATCATTTAACTTCTTGGGCAAGAAAAGATGCACCATGGCAGAACTGGATTTGAAGCACTATGGAAAATGACTGCTGCAAAAGAGAGGACCTTGGGCAGAACAAAAGCCACAACACCTCCCCCCCTCTCCTCAGCTTCCCCTCTGCCAGCACTTGCTATTTAGAAGTCAGAAAAAGGAGTGGATTCAGCCTATATTCTTCTATTTTCATGCCCCAATCCAAAGAGCATCTGTTAGCATTCTATTTTCATACTAAGCCAATAAGTCCAGTGAGCTGAATATGGATCATCTAGTCCATTTCCTAAATACTTGCTGAATTTCTTGTGCTTTTCCTTTTCCTCTTCCTGTGGCCTGTTTGGGCCCAGGTCCCCTCTTTCGGCAGGATTTCAGTAATATCTGTGTGCCCCCTTGCTTCTACTTTTGTCTCCTTCCTCCTCCACTCTCCCCATGGAAGCAAATTATTAATTTTTCATACACATATATTATTAAATACTTGAGTTTTACTCAGTAATTCATAGATATTCTTAAAAAGCATCAGATAAAATGCGTTCATCCAGTCTAGGAATTGTCTGACCTCCAAACCTACTCTTCTTTCTCCAATTCATAGTGTTTTGTTGACTTTCTACTTGGCCTCTTTCTTCTTTCACATGGAAATATTATCCTTTCATACACACACATGCACATGCATATACACATGTGCTTATACACACATCTATCCTGTGACTTGACTTGGTGTGGTCTTGTACACACAATAGCTCCTGTATTTAACAACCATGTATATTCAGAGGGATGTGGAAGAGGAAGACAAAAATGACTGCGATGTAAGGAAGTATAACATAGAGATGCTTAAGGTGAAGTCGAGAATAGGTATTAGGAATATCTATGAGGTGACATAGATGAATTTCTATTGAGGTGACATAAGTAGAAAATTGACACAAATGTAAGGAAAAAGATATGCACATCTAACAAGAACAGACCTCAGGACCAATGGAATAGAATTGAAAACCCAGAAATGAACCTACAGACCTATAGCCATCTAATCTTTGATAAGGGAGCTAAAAAAATAGAATGGAAGAAAGACAGCCTCTTCAGTAAATGGTGTTGGCAAAATTGGTTAACTACTTGTAGAAAACTAAAGCTAGATCCTTCTATATCACTCTGCACCAGAATCAACTCCAAATGGATCAAAGACCTCGGAGTCAAAGCAGACACTCTGAAAACATTACAGGATGGAATAGGAGAAACCCTAGGTCTCCTTGGCTCAGGCCGAAATTTTCTGAATAGAGACCCGGAAACACAACAAATCAAAGAAAGGTTGGACAAATGGGATTGCATGAAGTTGTAGAGCTTCTGCATGGCAAAGGACATAGCTAGCAAGATCAATAGAAAGCCCACGGATTGGGAGAAGATCTTCACTAGCCATACAATGGACAAGGGTCTCATATCTAAAATATACTTGGAACTCAAAAAATTAAATCCCCCAACAACAAATCCTCAAAGAAACAACTGCCCAATAAATAAGTGGGCTATGACTTAAAGAGAAACTTCTCTGAAGAAGAAAGAAGGAGGATGGCCAATAGACACATGAAGAAATGCTCAACCTCCCTAGCCATAAAAGAAATGCAAATCAAAACAACATTGAGATACCACCTCACCCCAGTTAGAATGGCTATCATCAAGAACTCTAATAACAACAGATGCTGGAGGGATATGGACAGAAGGGAACCTTACTGTATTGTTGGTGGGAGTGTAAACTTGTTCAACCACTTTGGAAAGTAGTATGGAGGCTCCTCAAAAGAATCCACATAGAGCTCCCCTATGACCCAGCAATCCCACTTTTGGGCATTTACCCAAATGATCACAAACAAGACCACACTAAAGCTACCAGCACAACTATGTTTATTGCAGCCTTATTTACCATAGCTAAGATATGGAACCAACCCAGATGCCCCTCAGTAGATGAATGGATCAGAAAATGTGGCATATATACAAAATGGAATTCTATGCCTCCATCAGAAAGAATGACATTGCCCCATTTGTTAGGAAATGGAAAGACTTGGAAAAAATTATATTAAGTGAAGTAAGCCAAGCCCAAAGAAACATAGGTCCCATGGTTTCCCTTATTTTCAATATCTAGTATATGTATGAGACAAGCAGAAAAGGTCAGATAAGGTGATGTTAAGAAAAAGAAACCCAAAAAAAACAATTAAAAGGTTTTTTCTTCCATGCAATTGTTTCTAACACAATTATAAGATGATTTCTTTGTTGCTTTGTATGTCCCTCCCCCACAGTATAACCCCTGCTTTCACTATATTTGATGTTTGTATAATTTGTGGAGGGGAAGGGGAAAAACAAGTCATTTAAATAAGGATACAGGTGGACCTGTTGCAACAATGAGAAGTACAAGTTGTCACGTCAAAAACGAACTTTACAACTTTGGTGGGGGGGCGAAGGATTGGGTAGGGGGGCGGGGGGAGGCTGGGAAGGGATGGGAAGGAGAAACAAAGGAGGAGGCTACAATGCTTGATAAGAAATATACTCATTATCTTGCCCATGTAATTGTAACCCCTCTGTCCAGTATTTTCACAATTAAAATAAAATAAAATAAAAAAGATATGCGCATCTATCAGGCTATAGAATTGTTTCTAAGTGACACAGGAATAGCACAGCAATTGGCGTGATTTCTGGAGTCAGGGAAAGCTGAGGGATCTTAGTTCAAATATAAGTGATGATTGCTTAATGAGTACAGAGTTTCTGTTCGGGAATTGAGAAGGTTTTGGAAATCGATATTGGTGAAGGTTGTAAAACATAGTGAATGTACTCAGTGCTATTGAACTGTGTACCCGGAATGGTTAAAATGCTTAGGTTATCTACATTTTAATACAGTAATGAAAAAGAAATTTCTTTTTATTTATGTGGTACCAAGGAATCGAACCCAGGGCCTCATGCATGCTAAGCAAGCATTTACCACTAAGCCACATTCCTAGCAAAGGAATTTTTTAAAAAGCATAGTAGAGCCTGAGCAGAAGTCAAACCAGCGCAGTGATGTGCAAACTGATAGAATTAAAAGTTTCTTAATGCCCTGGGAAGATGGCAATCCCCTGAAATTTCAAATCAATTCCCCTCCAGCACACACAGACACAAAGATCCTTAGACTTTGGAAACTAAAAGGTCCCAAAATGTTTCCCAAGACAGGAGTGATGGTAGATCCTCTGTGCAATACACAGCATGGGGCACCTGGTTCAGATTGAAATATGTTGAAGGTATGGCTACAGCTATGGAATTCACAGTATAGCAGGACTGTGTTCAAAGGACATACATTTATTTGTTACCTTAAGAGGTGATACATCTTGAAGCCTTTTTTTCTCAGCCAGGAACCACAAAGCATGTTGAGTCACCATTTAAAAAATACCCGCCCACACACATGCATGTTCCAGGATGGAAAAATTTGATCACAAGGTAAGGCTCATTTCCATTTATATAAGAGTTTCTGAGGCCTAATGATTGAATTATTTGTAGTCATAGAAATGGCTATTTTGTGGGAGGGGGGTGCATCACTCTACCACACTTACTAGGATTCACAAGCCAAATTTGGGATGCATATAAGCCACCAAGAGGACCATGTCCCACCTCTGGAAAGAACTGGAAGATACTGTCTGCTAGAAGCTAAGGGTCCAGTCTTTTTTTTTTTTTTTTGGGTCCGGTCGTGGGGCCTGAACTCTGGGCCTGGGCGCTGTCCCTCAGCTCTTCAGCTCAAGGCTAGGGCTCTACCACTTGAGCCACAGCGCCACTTCCGGCTTTTTTCTGTTTGCTTATGTGGTGCTGAGGAATCGAACCCAGGGTCTTGAGCATGCAAGGCAAGCGCTCTACCACTGAGCCACCTTCCCAGCCCCTAAGGGTCCAGTCTTGGAGACTGAGAAGTGCCTCAAGACATTGCTCAGAGAAACACAAAACAAACAACAACGACAACAACAAATTAGGATTCCAAGCATCCACAACCTCTTCAGTTTTAATGATCATGGTTGCGTTCTACAATTTTATTGAAGAAATTTGGATCATAAATCTTTGAGGCCTTTCCTTTCATTCTTTGGTCTCTCAGCATCTCTCTTACTAAGTTTTAGCTCCTTTGACACCCTTCCCCCACCAGTATCTGTTTCTTCATGAGGGATCTGGTGACACCTTTTGATATTCTGATCCTATGGTCACTTACTTCCCTTAGGTCTGGGCACTGGTTAGGGTTCCACCTATATCTTATTAAAGAAAAAACAAGGTCTTTAATTTTTGTGCAGGCCAAGTCAGTATCTATCTTCCTGTCCCAAGACATCTTCCTGCAGGCTCTTTTGGAAGAATTAGAACTGTTCTTCTGGGCTAGAGACAGGAATCTGCTTCATATGATAGATAGTGTTGGCTGGAGGAGCAGAGGCAAGGAAACACCCACATAACAAAATCAAAATATGCCAAATGGTGTTGAGAAAACACTTTATTTTTCATCAGATTGAGCACAGGTGTTGATCCCTGGTGAGGCAGACATTGCAAACTCTGGCATCTTGCAGAGCACACATTCTGTGAACTCCTGGCAAACAGGCAGGGAGCCAAGGGAGAGCTCCCAAAGCTCTCTTGGGGAGCATTGTAGTGCTAAAAGAGATCAGTGACAGTCCTCAGACTTTGCTTCCTTTAAAATGACTTCTCTCCCAGCTCAGCAGCAGCCCCCAGAGCCCTGGCCACAGCCAGAGCCCCCCGACTGCTGACCACTGCCACGCTCACACGAGCTGGAGCTTCCACGCCTGCAGCGGTGGTGGGACCTGCGCCTCCTGTGGTGGCCCAGGCAGCAGCCCCCCTCAGAGGAGCTGGGCCCACCGCATCCTCCAGAGCTTGTAGCACAGCAGGAGGAGGCTGCAGGCAGACATCCTGCTGGGCTCTTTGGGGGGCACTTGGGCGATGGGCACTTAGGCAATGGGCACTTGGGAGGGGCCTGAGCCTGCTGCTGGTTCTGTTGGCAGGACATCTTGATAGGAGTCGGTGAGCCTGAAAAGATGAAGAAAACCAGGTCAATGCAAAATCCTTAGGTCAGTGTGTCCTCTGAGAAGGGTTCTATTCTATAAAGCCTTTGTTCCTAAGACTGACTGCATCATGAACTGTGATCTTCAGAAAGAAAAACGGAAATGGGTCTCTTCCAAAAGAGAATACTAATGTTTCTACCCTGGCCTGGAGTCCTCTAACTCTATAAAACCTTGAAGCAAAATCACTCGATCAGAGAATGACTCTTAGAGAGTGCTCGGAGCATGCGTACTTCTCAGGAAAATCACGAGGGCAATGCTCAGAGCCAGGACTGCACTGTGTCACAGACTCCCATGCATCCCACAGATCTTTTGTCTGTTTCTCTCTCCAGTCCCTCTTACTGATGCATCCAAGGCAAATGCCGCTGCTTCCCTCTTCCTCGCTGAAAGGTTGGTTGATCGCCCCACACGCTCCCAGCTGTGAAACCGTGTCCTGATGCCATCCACTTACCTGACTGATGCTGGAGAGGCAGGAGAAGGAGAGAAGGCTACCTCCAAGAAGGCTGTGGATGGAGAGCTCAGGGCAAGAGTCCTTTTATCCTAGGCAGGGTTCATGATACACAGCTTGAACATGCTGTTGCTGACACAGTTAGGGGAGACAAACACCTCCATCCCTGGTCTCCAGCATCTTCGTTGTGCTCACTACAATACTTGGAAAGGGAGAATCAGAACACCTTTATCGCTGCTCTCCAATGTATGATGGAGACTCGCCATTTCTTCTCTTTCTACTCATTCAGTTCAGGTTCTGAGTCAAAAGAGTGAAAAGAGAAGAACTGTGCTGTGCCCCTTGTATTTTTTCAGGTGACAGTTTGAATATAGAAAGGCTTATGACACATTTCCTGATCTTGAACATTTCAAGTTTAACTGGACTAACAGAGAAGTAAACGTACACGTCAGATACTATGTGATTTGTCACATGATGTCGCAGCCTCTGAATACATCCATTTCTCTTGAGATTCTTAGAGGGAGTGATTGGCTCCTTACTCTGAGGAATGTTGGCTAATCTGAGATCACTGGCCCCTTAGAATTAAGTCTGTTAGGTAATGGATAGGGGATGGGACCCAGGCCCCATCAGAGGTGGGTGGGGTTTCTCAAGAGCTAAAATTATGGAAGGATTGTGGATGAACAAAGTTGTTAAATGATCTACAGCAGTTGAAATGGTAATGTTCAGACAATGTGGAAAAAGCCGCTTTATCTGTATTTAGCTTCCTGAGGGATATATGATATTGATTATGAGAAAAATAAAATGGATCTATGAGCATAGGATAGTAAAGGTAGAGTCTTAAGGATGATTTATCCAATATGATGATGTGGATACTATGTGCACCACAGTTAACTAAACCTTTTTTTTGGGGGGGGTCCAGTTGTGGGGCCTGAACTCTGGGCCTGGGTGCTGTCCCTCAGCTCTTCAGCTCAAGGCT